CCACATCCCATATAACGGTAATTTAGAGAAATACAAAATCTTCAATAAATTAGTAAATATTAAAGGTAATTTATTCAAAATTGATGCTTGCAACAACTATTAACCAAGAAATACGTTTGTGATAAAATTTTGGAAAATGGGCGTGGCACCGCCCACTTATGATCACATATATGTATCTCGGTAACCGTTCTACCAATTTGTACCAAACTCGGTGTGGTTTTTGTGCTTGCCACATAAAAGCAAAACTTTGAAAATTATTGAAAGCGGACTAAAATTGAGGCCGCTTTTCATATAATGGTAAATTTCAGAACTGCTTGAAACTTCAAAATTTCGAAATCTAAGGACTCTAATTTACTCAAAATTGATACGCCCCGGCTTACCATGTAGCGGTAGCTTTCGGAAAGGTGAAAATACGTGCGCCGGGTATTTAAGATTCGGCTCCGCCCGAACTTAGACTTTCTTACTTGTTTTAAATAGTTTTTTGAATTTATCATATCATTAAAATTTCAAAAACCCTTGAAAAAAAATCCTGATGTCAGAGTGAAAAAGTAAAAACGCAGTTTTACTATATTTGGCCTTAACTTAAGTATTTCAATTACAATCTTTGTTAAAAAAGGCGTTCATGCCGAAAAGTAATCAATTAAGAATATATTCGACTCGTATATGTATAAGTGCACGCAATGGTTTCATCGAAAGTTGTCAAAATCTAATGGATACCACATCTTTTAAATTTTGTATATATTTATTGGTTGCTCTTCACAGAGTTCATTTTTGCTTGAATCGGAGATCAAACCTAGAAAATTTCCTCATTGACTAAATTTGTACAGGTTGTCGAATCCTGGAAGAACCACAGGTAATCAGTTCGACTTACAACACCCTTACATCGATTGTATGTACACTCAGCGTCAAAAATATGACGACCCTGACATTTTGACGATTTTATTTATTTATATTTTCTATGCCAAATTTTATGATTATTTTTTTAGTTCATTCAATAGCAAAAACCCGCAGAACCAGTTTTTTCAATTTCATCAGGGACTCGGGAAAATGCAAGAAATACCAAAATAATTTCAGCAAAGTTTTCAACTTTTCCATTCGATTTCTTAGAAAATTTTTTATTTATAATATGAATAATAAGGTCCTCGAATTTCGTCCTTCTAACTTTATCAAAAAAAAATTGTATTTTTTTTTTGAATTCTAAAGAAATTTCCTCTTGCATTTGGTACCCATATTTTTATTCTACATTGCATTGAATTTTTTAAATAGTTTTTGGAATTAATCATATCTTTGAAATTACAAAAGAAATGCTGATGTCAGAGAGGAAAAATAAAAAAGCCACTTTAAATAAAAAAGTAGGTTTCAAACCCATTTATTTATTATTTATTTTATGGTAGGAGAGCTTCTCAAACAATATAGAAGCAATTTTTTCGATTTAAGTTGTTGAAAAGTAATGAATATCTAAATCCCCGGATTCCGGGATTGTGATAACGACATCCCGTCAATCCCGGGATCGGAAAAGAGCTGAAAAATTAACATCGCTAATATGTACAAATGCAAATAAAGGTAGAGTAGGTGCTTTAAAAAATTAAAAATCAAAAGTAGTTTCGCTAAGCACTATTACTAGACTATTTACATTATTATATATTAAACATGTTTTAGTTCGTATTTATATATGTATGTACATATGTATGTAAATTTTTGCTATTTCTGATTATGTTGAATCAATCAATATTTAGTTAATTAACGTATTTGCGCACCATAAACTTAAGCAAACCACAAATTAATAAATGTATGCAACTTGTCTTCTCATTCGCAGTGACTAAATACTTTAAAATGCCAAATCTCTATGACTTTGATGACTTCGATCGTTGTTTACAAGAATTCAAACGTTCGGAGACATATTGCTTTGTACGCGCTGAGGTGTTGCCGCAAGCAAACTCGGAGGCTTGGCAAGCCATTGCTGAGATATCGAAATACAATAAACATCATTTCGATCATAGACATTTGTATTATGGACTATGTTTGCGCTGGTGTAAAGAGGATTTGGCTGCTGCTGATCCAGATGGGGTCAAAGAACTCTATGCTGGATTACTAACGAACAACACAAAGGTATGGGAATCACCAAAGAGAGTTTGCTTTTTTCTCTTTTTTTTTGTTGTTTCAATTTATTGTTTACATTTATTCTTTGTTTGTTTTTGCACCTGTATTTACTTAGATTATGTGTGTCGCATTTGAATATTCAAACGTGCTTGCTTTTGCTCACCGTACACTCACTCATACACAGTGAAATAAGCCGTCTGGTGCATGCTTTACAGACGAGAGGAGAATGAGTGCTCGCCTTCTTCACATTTTTTACATGTGTGTTTGCATGGCCTTGTGAAGTGCCTTTGCAAATAAAAATTTGAGATAAGAAGCAGAACAAAAGAAAACCAGATGATCAGATGCTTTCAAAGTAAAATAAACAAATAATTGCATGGGCAGTTTTGATGAGGTCGTTGGCAATAATTATTAATTGTTTGTTAAGACCCGGGGAATGTTTTTCATCTGATCGGATGTTGCCATTTTCCATGATGAGTTACTTAAAGAGTGTGGTTTTTGTAGAGTGGTCCTTAGTCCAAAGTAGCACTTGGCCCATAAGACAGGTCCTCCCTTTTTGTGGATTGGGCTGAGCACACAGGGCAATTCTGGCAACTGTCTTTCAAGTCACCAAAAAGCAAGAAGTCTTTCGTAAGACCACTTTCAATTTTGACAACAATAAATAAAATAATTCCCTGAAAATTAAATGAAATTAAAACTTCGAGAGATCCGGGGTCGAGTCCTCTAGCAGCGGTTTTTTTCTTTTGAAACATTAATTGAAAACTCTGCTAGTGAGGAGGTCTTAGCGTCATTCTATTTGCCTTTTAGGAATTATATTTTTTTTAAATTTAATGAAATATTTTTTTTACAATAAAAATTACAGGAAAATAAAATTAAAAAAGAAGAAATGTAATTAAAACCATAAAAATTAAAAAAAAAAGTTTCTGAAAATTTAAAGAAATTAAAAAAAAATGCAATATATTTTTTAAAGTAATAAAATCTAAAAATTTAAAGTAAAATAAACTTAGTTAAATAGAAAAAGAATAAAAAAAATAATTTTCTGAAAATTAAATGAAATTAAAAATTCGAGAAATCCGAGGTCGAGTTTTATGTTATTTAAATCCCTTTTACTTGATTTTATTATTTTAAAGAGCAAAATACATATATTTTTAAAAACTCATTTTATTTTCTTATTTTACTTATTTTTTTAGATTTCATTGTCTTTTTTAATTTATTTTTTTTTTAAATTAAGTTTCTCTTAATTTTTACATAGTAATAATAAGAATAGATTTACACAATATTTTAGTGTATGGCCGAGCCATATGTTGCCACACGAAGGGTAGGGACCTACAGTTTTTCGCCGCCGCGAACGGCGATTGCATTTTTATGAGAAACTGTTTTTCATGGCCGCGGGGCCACCGCTGTTAGAAAAAAAACTTTTTGTGTTTTATTTTGCTATTTATTTTTTTTGTATGCTGGTCTTGAACCAAGGTCCTGCGGAATGGTAGCGCACACTGCTAACCACTACACTATTGTTTTACAAAAAAAAAAAAAAAAAAATAAAGAGACTGTAATGGTGATGACCTTTATAATAGAAATCATAACTTAACCCTTAAAATTGGATTTATATTTTTGTGATTAAAATTAATCGTTATTTTTGGAATATAGGTTTTTCGGTCATCCCATATTCTTTTTTTAAGATTAAATATTTTAGGACTTATTTGAAACGGTCATTAAACTGCAGTCTCTTATATAACGGCTAAAAATTGATCGAAAAAATCAAAATTGGAACGATTATCTTTTATTGAAAAAAATTTTAATTAAAATGAACGATTTTTCAATTAACTGAAAATAATAATCTTGGTATTTAGTGGTGATTTTCGGTCCCTGTTTTTTTAATTTCATTTAATTTTTAGAAACTTATTTAATAAATTTGTGTCTTTCAATTTTCAGTTCTCATCCCAGTGGGAAAAGTAGTAATGCATTCCATGCGTGATAAATAATCGAATGTATTTCTTATGAGTTTTACATCCAAGTACTGTTTAATATGTAATGAGCATTATAATGTATTCAAAAGTCCCAAAAATTTCATATTAAATTGCATTAATTTCTCGATACCAGGTAATGCAAAATTGAATGCCCCACTTTTCTTAAGACATCGCCCTGGGAAAAAAATGCATTTTCGAATGTGATAAGGGTTGTTTTACTGATAACTTTTTCGATTACTATACATTACATTTTCCCACTGGGTATTGTTTTGCAAAGGAAAATATATACTTATGTATGTATATTTTGAATTTCGTTTAATTAAAAAAAAATTCATTTGTGTATTTGTGTAGCTCAGTTGTTAATCCATCGGGTTTACTATTATTGAGTCATGGTTTGCAGTTTGAGGAGGATTTTTTTCTAAAAATGCTGAATGAAAAGTTAGAAATTTTGGTGAAAATTTGTTGAATTTTTATACAAAGTTTTAAATGTTTATTTATATGGTGGTGGTTGTATAACTAGCTAGACGTTTATAAAAGCAAGTAATTTTTAGGCAAAAAAACACAACCGACTCCAATTCATATATACAAATTTTGGAGAAGTATCGAAATCGGTTGATGTGTTTCAATGTTATGCGGTAACATATATATACAAAAAAAAAAAAAGTCCGACAGAATTGATAGCCTCCTCCATTTTTGAAGTCGGTTAAAAATATTAAACATCAAATAAGCCAAAGAAGAGTCTATAATATCTTCACTCAGAAACTCTGTTTAACATTTCGAATATTTTTTAGGTTTTTTTAGGTTTCTGTTTAAAAGGTTAAATTCAATTTTGGTGCTTTGACGCCATGCAGGTTCAAGAGTTATACATATTTTATTAGTAATAGAATAAGGACCATTTTTACCATCTCTGGTTAACACTAGTCCCCAGTTAAACATCGTTAGCGACGTATCTGATTCCATGCAAATGACATTGTGTCGGCAACGATGTTTAACTGAGAATTATAGTTAACCAGAGGTGGTGAAAACAGCCCTTAGTTATAAATTTTGTATGCAATAACAAAACCATTAACCAAGGAGCTCTTCAATCGGTAATGGGTGAAGGTATTGCACTGGTGATTTTTCTACGAAATCTTAAAATTTCTAGAGTTTAACTTACAACTCTCAAAAGGAACTGATTTCGATGATATCTTCGCTGCCATCAATGCAAAAGGCCTTAAAGAAATTTCAAATTTGTATGATAAAAATTTTGATTTTTTAGCCACTTTAGGGCCTTAGATGTTTATTATTTTATATATATATATATTTGATGATATAGATGTTCATAAATATTTACACATTACGCAATTTTTTATTGCCGTACCTAAAAAATAAACCACAGCTTCAAAGGATATTTGAATAAAATGTTAATTTTTTTGCTTGCAGCTCAACACATACGTTGGTCTCTTTACCGTCGAGGAGACGAATCGCGAGCAATACAATACTATAATGAATCAATGTATAAATTTAAGATTGACACAAACACATGGATTGAGGGCTGTTAGCATGATTGAATATTGTGAAACAAATCACAAAGTTATTGAAATGGGTGAGTCAACCATTACTGCATACACTCATGGACAAAAGAATAAGTGCACAATTCAAAAAGGTATTGTTTGCAATACGTTGACCAACTTAGTTTAAAAGAAAACAGAAACAAAATAAATAAACGTTTCAAAGCTTACACAAAGATCACAAAAATTAATTAAATTAAAAAACAAAAATGTTCATCAAATATTTAAACTTTTTATTCAGAACTTTTAGAGTATGCAGTTTTGTAGCCCATTCAATGCTAGGATAATAAGGTGCTACATTCGTGTCGCTGAAAATTACCATCAATTTTTTAGAATTTGTTAGTAGAAAGTGTTAAGCATTTTCCTCCATATAAAAATAAATTGGGCTTATTCGTTATATGTAAAGAAATGCGACAAAAAAAATCTTAAAAATCAACGGTAATTTTTAACCTCTTGAGATTTGCGCTTTATTACACTAAAATTGAATTAGCTATACAAAATTCTAACAGTTCTGAGAAAAAAGTTTGAAATTTTGATTAAAATTTCATTAATTTATTTTAGTTATCTGCAAAGTTTTAAACTTGGATTTATACGGGTTAGAGAATTTCATTTCATTTATTGCCAAAAAAATATTAGAATGAACTTTATTTTAATTGAAATTCCTAAAAATTAATAAATAAACCTAAGTGCAAGCAATATCATTTTTAAATGGGGCGCTAATTATATGACCGATACTGTAAATTACAAATAATAATATTTAGAATTATGCAGCTATTCTTTTGTCCATGAGTTTATGTAATAGTAGCAGTAAATATATAGCATGAGATTATCTAACTTTGAATTTAGAATTTCCGTAGAAAAACTCATTAAAATATATGTATCATCATTATGACATATTTCGAGTGCGATCACGTAGCACGCAGTGTTTGTATTTAATGTTTAATAATTTTTCTGTTGTTTTGAAATGCGTTTTGTTTTCGAAAGGAAATATATCTACAATTACATACGCAATGCATTTTTTCAGAGATGTATGTATACATACTCGTATTTTTATATCATAATAGTTATAACTTTATACAAACAATAACATATAACATATAATTTACTTGCTACTCATAAATATTTGCTTATTGGTTTGTAAACAGATACATGGAACCTCACCTTCTACGCCATCACTTTTGTGCTGATTTTACTAGTAGCTGGCAGCAGTTTATTTGATTTTTATCTCAAACATAGGCCTAGCGATAAAGAGATTTCAAGGGAGGATCATTACAAAAGCGCCGTCAAGGGTATAAGTAAGTATTGACTACACTTAAGCGTTGTTGTATTTAATTTTTTACTATTATTTACCAACCAACAGTCAATCGTCTCTGTGCAAGTTTCTCAGTGGTGCGCAATTGGTATCGTCTAAATCAGGAACCAGTCGGCAAATTGGGACGCGATCTACGTTTTCTTGATTGCTTCAAATTTTTCTGTATGTTCTTGGTGGTGTTTGCACACACCAACTGGATACTCTATGAGGGCGCCTTGAGTAATCCACAGGATAATGAGCGTTTGTTGCATACCGTTGCGGGTACATTACTAATTTCGGGTGGTTTGATTACAATTACTTTCTTTGTATTTAGCGGCTTGTTGTTGACTATCAATTGGCTGGCATTGACTAAGATTAAGAATGAATTGAGTACTAAAGAATATGTAGAGGTGTATATTAAATTTAATATATTCCGTTACTTGCGGTGAGTCTCATTTTAATTCATTTACGTTAGCCTTGGAGTTAGCGTGGGATTTCGTTTTTTCGTTTTTTTATTTCTTTCTTTTGTTTCAGTTTAACCATTCCATATGCTTTTGTTATCCTATTGAGTGGCGTATATTTTGATAATCACGGCGGGCCACTTTGGCGACATATTGTTGAACGTGAGCAGCTCGCTTGTCGCAAGAATTGGTGGGCTAATTTGCTTTATATCAATAACTATTACAGGAACAATGAGAAGGTAAATTAAGTGCTGCTGCTTAAGGATTTATTTTTACAAGTATTCAATTTAGCTTGGCTCAATGATGTGGTAACTTACGTTGTGATAACTTTTATTGTGTTATTTGTTTAAAAATTAACATTTAAAG